CTTTGTAATCTTAGAAAACCCTGTTCACTGTCTCCTATGCCACTAATTTTGGTGTTGTCTGCTCACTTACTAACCATGCCTTTGATATTCTCATCCAAATCGTTTATATAAATGACAAACAAAAGCGGACCCAGAGCCAATCCCTGTGGAACATCGCTGGTGATGCGCCTCCAGTTCAGTTGGACACATCGCACCCGTATCCATCAAAGTCTAGAAGAATGGGAGGGATCTTATTGAATCCTGTAAAATCCTGAGGGGACTTAACAATGTGGTTACTGTAAGGATGCTTTCCCATGTGGGAGAGATTAATACTGGAAGACACAATTTAAAGACAAGGGGGTCTCCAATTTGTGGCAGAAATGAGGAGTTTTTTTGTTTGTCCTGAGGGTGGTGAGTTTACTATTCTCTTCTGAAAGAGCAGTGGACTTGGGGTTGTTGAATACTTTTCAGACAGAGGTAGATAGAATCGCCACTCTCAAAGGAGTCGATGGTTCCTAGGGGAGGTGAGATTGGAGTTGAGGCTCCAGTCAAAGCAGTAGATCGCAGTGACTTCTCACCTGGATGGTTTTACCCATAACCTGGAATGCTTACCTGTCTTGGGCTGTTTCCAAATACCAGCCCCTCTCAGGGAACAAGGACTAGCAGGTATCATGGGTAGTCAGGTATGTGGAGTCATCAGGTCAGCCATGGGCACGCAGGCTGGAGGGGCAGAATGGCCCACTCCTCCTCCTAATTCTTATATTTACATGCACATACGCTCTTATAGATTGTGCAATGTTAGTAAAATGCTGCTTTTGTAAACTTTACTTCTGCGCTAACCCTATCATTCAGTATTAAAATACCAGTGTAATGGATTTACTTTTGAATAGTTCCATCAAGCAGTCAGCAGAACCAAGATGGGCCAAATGGCTTCCTTCTGTGCACCTGCAACTTCATCTCAATGCGAGGTTGAAGCATGAAACATCATCTCTGTATCTGGCCAGTTCAATCCCTTTCTAATTGTGACGGCCTCTATCAGTGAGCTCTTGTCTTTTTTTCAGAGAAAAGAGTCCCAGCCTGTTCACTCCTGTTACTGAGCAATTTCATATGATTACTTTGTACGTTTGCGAATTTCCTTTTCGTTACTGCAATTGGTAGAACAGAACAAAGTTATGTCAATGGCCATCTTGTTTTGAGTTCATTTATAAGTTGTGAGCAAGGTTGGCATTTATTGAGTGAACCACCTTCTTGAACCAGTGTAGTCCATGTGATGAAGTTACACCAAACATTTTGTGAGGAAGGGAGTTCAAGGGTATTCGTCAAGCAATGGGAAAGAATGGTAATTTAGTTCAAATTCAGGATAGTGTGTAGTTTGGAAGGATACTTACAGGTGCTGGGGGTCCAATGTGACTTCTGGCCTTGTTTCAAGGCAGCAGAGATCATGGTTTTGAAAGGAGGTTTGGTGAGTTGCTGCTGTGCTCCCTGCAGACAGTACACACAACCACCACCTGTGTTTGAGCTGGTGAATGAAATACCAAATAAGCTCCCTGTAAAAACTGATACACTTCTCCAAGAAGCCCTCTATAAAAACCAACACATTCCCCCAGGAGTCCCCTGTAAACACTGACACATTCCCCCAGGAGCCCCCTGTAAACACTGACACATTCCCCCGGGAGCCCCCTGTAAACACTGACTCAATCCCCCTGGAAGCCCCTGTAAACACTGACACATTCCCCCTGGGAGCCCCCTGTAAACAATGACACATTGCCCCAGGAGCCCCCTGTAAACACTGACACATTCCCCCTGGGAGCCCCTGTAAACACTGACACATTCCCCCTGGGAGCCCCTGTAAACACTGACACATTCCCCCTGGGAGCCCCGTGTAAACACTGGCACATTCTCCCAGGAGCCCCCTTAAACACTGACACATTCCCCCTGGGAGCCCCCTGTAAACACTGACACATTCCCCCGGGAGCCCCCTTAAACACTGACACATTCCCCCCGGGAGCCCCGTGTAAACACTGGCATATTCTCCCAGGAGCCCCCTTAAACACTGACAGATTTCCCCGGGAGCCCCCTTAAACACTGACACATTCCCCCTGGGAGCCCCGTGTAAACACTGGCACATTCTCCCAGGAGCCCCCTTAAACACTGACACATTCCCCCAGGAGCCCCCTGTAAACAATGACACATTCCCCCAGGAGCCCCCTGTAAACACTGACACATTCCCTCGGGAGCCCCGTGTAAACTCTGGCACATTCCTCTGGGAACCCCCTGTAAACACTGACACATTTCTCTGGGAGCCCCCTGTAAATACTGACACATTCCTCTGGGAACCTCCTGTAAATACTGACACATTCCTCTGGGAGCCCCCTGTAAATACTGA